AGATGTTTTGTTTTACTTCGTTTTCACAAAACTGACTCCGACACCAACTACAACTCTTGCAGGAGATGGACTCACGCGCGCGCGTGTCTGTTTTTGTGTGTTTCAGGAGACACAGGGCACTTACCTGGAATATCGCTTACTTGTCATTTCTAAAAACTTATAGGGAGTATCAATTCCAAACCGCATCTCTTAAGTAGAATCCGCAGCTAAGTCTGAACAGATTCATTCAGTTCTTAGTTAGCCTAAGTAGAGACTCAACGTTCTTTGCAATGATTTAAAAGCTGTATGTGCTTCAAGGAAAAGTGGCTCTGATAAAAGAACTTGTTGTAAGGGTTGGTTCGAGCTCTTCAAAGTGAGGGCAGATTTATATGCCATTAAAAGGCAAGTTCGGCTTGATCGTAAGTCAGGTATGTGTAAATCCAGTGACTTTAGGATCGGTCATGGAGTGCAGTGAGAGGCTTAGAAGCAAGATTCCCCTGACCTCATTGATAGCTGAGTCAGACAGAGGCCAGACCTGCTGAGCACGAGAAACAACCCCCCAGATAGAAGAGCGTGCAGTCCTTATCATGGATGGAAGAGCATCATCTATTTATTTCCTTAATGGGCCACTGCTTCTAACATGAATGGATGGCTGGTACAAAATGAAACAGCCCAGCAGGAGCTGCATGCATCTGAGATGAGACAGACGCACAAATCTATTCCTTGCTTAAAGATCACATTGCTAAAAATAGAAGCTGAAATGCACGCTTAAGCGTGCACACACACACATACACACAGCACTGAGGAGGCCACAACGGAGCTGGCAGGATGTAGAGCTTAATGGGGGATCATCTGAGAATCAGAGCACCCAAGAGCAGGAAAGGTGCCCAAAGGGGGTGCCTAAACCCCCTCTAAATCTCTCATTTGACAAATGGGGAAGCAGAGTCCCAGAGAGGAGTCGGACAGCCCTGAGGAAAAACAGAAGCATGACTGGAACCCAGATCTTATCTCCCAGCAGGGGTGGTGGGTGAGTGGCGGGGGTGGTGTTTGTCCTATGTAAAACACTGCTTAGCACACTGCTATCAGAGTCCAGGACCCAGGGACTCTGAGCAGAGTAAAGTCACACCACTCTTTCCTGGGGTGGTCGCTCAAAACAAAGAACCAAGCACGGGGTGAGCGGCCATCTTATTTCCCCTGACACCAGGACTAGAACGGGTCTGCCTACCGCCACATACCCTTCTGATGGGGGTCCACTAATAGCTTTTGGATAGAAAGGGAGAAAAACACAGAGTTGAACTTAGAAGTCAACTGGTAGAGAACAGACTATCGCCCTGAGACACCCTTTAAACCTAGAAATGGGTAGTTCGCTTGAGATCCAGTGGCGTCAGTAGACGTGGAGGTGACTCAAATGACCGCAAGTCCCTCCCTGGTCGGCCGCTGTGACGCCACGAGGTGTGGGGTTACTGTCGTTCAGGCTGGTATTGCCTGGTGTTGCGCCAGCTCACCGGAGGCGGTCACGGTGCCCGCAGGCGGTGTGGGCGGCTCCGGCCTGCGCTGAACGCTGGCGTCTGGGCGCAAACTAGGTAACTGCAGCCACAGGCCACGGGCTCTGCACGCGGACCCTGGAGTCCGTGACCGGACCACGCTCTTTCCTCCGACCTTGGAGTCGCAGCAGACCACAGACCAACCACGGCGCCTGCAGTAGGACCGTCAGCGAAGGAGGAGGAACGGAAGCGGGGAACACAGGAAGGGATTTCAATGGGTGAGCTGAAGCAGACTGTCTATGGATTGTTGAATGCAAAACTAAGCATCTGCTCCTTAAACTTTAACCTAATTCACAGTAAAACATTTGAAAGGAAAAGAAAATAATAGCTCAGAAAAGCCTAAGCGTCCACTCTGTCCTGCCGGTTGTGCGTTGGAACCAGATCAAAGGTACCTACCAATAACCACCACCATTCACTGAGCATTTACTGTGAACCGCACCCGGTAAGGTATTACCCAGGCTGACTCTCGCGTCAGTCATCCGAAGCAGGCTCCAGTATTCTGCACAGTATACAAGGAAGCTGTAGCCCAGAGACGACATACATCCCAAACAGCAGGGTATAGTTGAACCCAGGAGGTAGGAATTATAGAGATCGTATACTAAACCACTATACAAAGATTGAAATATAAAATATTATCAAGATACTTCTCCTTGCGGTGAGTTCACGAATGAGTTTTGTCCTCGTGTTATTTTCCTCTATTTCCCCCTTTCTATTGTTTTTAATTAGAAAAAAACATAGTTCAGTTTATGAAGCGTTTCTTTTTTTCCCTGTGGATTTGTTTCTTTATTTTTTTTAATTTTTTTATTGGGGGCTCAAACAATTCTTATCACAATGCATACATACATCCGTTGTGTCAAGCACATATGTACATTTGTTGCCTTCATTGTTCTCAAAACACTTTATTATTTTTTAATCATTTTATTAGGGGCTCATACAACCCTTATCACAATCCATACATACATCAATTGTATAAAGCACATTTGTACATTCATTGCCCTCATCATTCTCAAAACATTTCCTCTCCACTT